TAGCAATTCCATAAGCATCATTTGTAGGAGTTGGTGAGAACGGACAAATTCTTCCAATTTCTTGTTGTGGAAGCTCTACTTTGCCTTCGTGTATAGATGAGGCTTTTGCTTCTTATAGTGTTATGGGATGGCCATTTCTCTTTTTAGAATGTTCTAAAATGAGAAATCAGCTGTTAGTGCAATTGGAGATGCTTAGAAGTTAACCTGCTGTTTTTCCTCTTGCACATGATAGTTTTACTGGGGAAAATTGGACTTATGGTGTATCGTGGTAAAGATAATTTCTGATTGTATCTGTTGGGAGTTCGTGGTTCTTCCTATACTTGGATGCCCCTTCATATTATCCCTCCAATTTTTATAACTATTCTAAAGTCATTAATAGTGGTTGGTATAACTAGTTATTTTAATTACTTAATTTCTTGTCAAACTCTTTGTGGTTGAAAAATAATCACCCATTTTATTTGAAATACTTGTTATTTCATTTTCTAATTTATACAAAATACTGAAAAGTTAATTTAGGGAAACAAGTACTTAATGTAGAAAATCTAAAATATGTAGCAAATGCTATTTAGGTTTTACTGTTACTTCTGTTTGCTCACTAGTTTAAGAAATGTGCAATAAAAATACCCAATTTTCAAGTTCTAAAAATGCAATATGTCACTCTTGGCTGAGAATGTTGTAACTGAGGAAAATCCCAGCAATCCATTTACTTGCTATTTCTCAAAGGTTTATTCTTCCTGGATGTTAGTATTATGTTCTTAAAATGCCAAAAATATTTGCTGAATTGGAACACATATGAAGAAAATTAAATAAGAATGTGTGCAAAGTACAGGGCATGATATCTGACAGTACACAGTATGTTTCGCCATTCAATAGGCTGTGAATAGCTTTTATCTGTAAGCACGCAGCTTTATGGAAATAACACTTAACACATGGTTACAACTGAGGATGAGGGAGAGACACATTGCTCATTCTTATTTCCTCTTCTCCCTGTGCCTTGACTTCTTTCTCCAATTCATGTTCTTAATTCCAAATTCTGGGCTGTATTTCTTGAATTCCATCATTTCTAAAGAGCCAAGTGAGTCCATACTTCCCTGGAGCTCATCCTAAATTATTTTAGTCACGTGGGTCCCTGTTGCCCTAAATATCCGTAGCTCGAGGCTTGGCCCACATAAGCTGTCACCTAAGCATTTGCTTTCTTATATTTTTCTTATATTTCTTACATTTTTAAATCAGATCTTTCATACACATGTAGCTATTATCTTCAAATGTAGAATTCTTCCAGGGGAAATATTCTCCCCACATCAGACAAAGGTATTAGAGTAATATATTAGATGTACAGCATGTGGTCTGTAAGCTTGACTCTATATTTTTGTTAATTTGTAGGGCTGAAACTATAGTTGACTATATGTGCTATGAGGTTAATATGTGCTAAAGGTTAAATTTGCCCATGTGTAAACAGTTAACAACTTTTAAACAACTGTTAAACAACTTTTAGTTGTTATCTTTTCTTTTCTTTCCTTTTCTTTTCTTTTTTTATTTGAAATGCAAAGTTAAAGGCATGCACACAGGGAGAGAGAATGAAAGATCAAAATTGGCCTTCCGTCTTCTGGTTCATTGCCCAAAATAGCCACAATGGCTTAGGCTGGGCCAGTTTGTATGATTTAGGGATTGGCATTTGAGTTCTATATTTGCCATACATTTGTTGTAGAATCGTAGATAAATGACTTCTCTACTTCTGTGTCCACAGGCTCCTGCCTTACATAGCCGATGTAATACGTTAATCATACCCCATTCAATGATGGGAACAAGCTCTAAGAAATGCATCAGATGGTCCTGTTGCTTTGTGAATATCTGTACTTAAATGATGCAACCCACTGCATGCATAAGCTACAGGGCATATGAATACATGTGGTTTGTTGCAATGTCATATGACATATGATTCTGTTTGTCATGGATGTCTAAATACGAGATGTGAAAATATTTTTTAAAACATGCTAGGAACATGTGTGGTTGTGCTTTTGCTTAAGTTAATACAGAAATCTGCCTTTGAAAAGAATTGCTGGATGTAAAACATCACATCTAATTATTAGACTGCATGTACATTGGCAAGCATCAGAAGAGAAGCATGCAGATGTCGAATACAAACATACCAGACAGCTGGGATTTCCAACAATAGCACTTTTTTCATAGGAATAGGTTGATTTTGTTGTTGTTTCTAGATAATTTTGAGTCTTGACAAGCTCAGTGGAAAACATTGGTGTTAATGCACTATTCAGTGATACATCGATGACCCAAAGGCTTTACCATTTACCAAATTTCTAAGTTGATCTTCCAAAGAAGTGCGTGGATTATTACAAATGAAGAGGCATTTCAACATGGAAATTTTTGTAAATGGACATTTTAGCTGGGCAGTGACTTGGAATGTAGATAACTAGAACCACTTGGCTGAAGATGCCAGCCTCCTCCAGAGTATGCACTGGCTTTTGGTGCTAGGATACTACTAGGTGGATTTGAGGAGCATCCTTCCCACTTCATTCCCATTCCTGGCCACGCATATTCTTATAACTACTTGCTAATAATCCTAATCAATATAAACAAACCAAATTCACAGTATTAATTTTACCATTGTCATTTAAATGCAGTGTTAGTCATCTCCAGCATCCCACTGACTTTATTTTTTGCAGTACAAGGAGCTTTATTCTGAGAGTCCAACACTTGATCATGACTCCAGGAATAAGGATGTCCAAAGAACCCTTTTTAAATTGGAGGAATGGGCTGCTAGTGTGTAGCGACTAAGAGGCAGCTGAGAGCATGGAAAGTCACAGGTGTAGCTGGAGTGCCAGCAATGGCCTACCCCTGGCTTCATCTACAATGCTGCCTTTACAGCGAGGTGACAAAGGGTAGATAGCCAGTATGTGCAGGCAAGTCTTTCCAGGAGAACCTTCATTTCAAAATGCAATGTTTAGAAAAATCTAAATTGCTATTTACCCAAACAAGTATCCTAAGAAACTATTTCCAAAAAAATGTTAAAAAATGTGACACATGATCCACTGGATGTAATTGTTAAGCTGCTGGTTAGGACACATACGTCACATAGAGGAGTGCCTGGGATTGCTTCTGGCTTCTGCTCTGGAGCCTTGCTTTCTGCTAACATGCACCCTGAGAGCAGTGCAGATGAATCGGGTACTTGGGTCCCTGCCACCTACATAGAGATATGGCTAGAGTTCCTGGCTCGCAGCGTCAGAACAGCCTGGTCCAAGCCAGTGAGGGTGTTTGAGAAATAAGTGTATAGGTTTGTGAGCGTTCTGTCCCTACCTTCCACAAGAAACAGTTACAAAAAAAAAAAAAAAAAAAACCTCTGCTAGTCTTTCTGTGACTGGCTTCAAGTCATTTTCAGTTGAGCCATTCATGGATGTTTGTACCCTCCTTTTTTCCTCATCTGTTTATTTTTAAGCAGATTCATTTACTTGTAAGATTGTCAGAAATAGAGAAATCTGGTTCAGTTCCCAAACAGACCCCATGGCCACGGCTGAATAAGGCAGGAGTCGGGGACTTTATCACGTGTCCCATGTACCAGGCTGTCACCTGCTGCCTTCCCAGGTGCTTTAGTAGGGAATTGCTGTGAAGCAGAGCACCCCAGATTCCAACCAAGCCTACACTTTATGGGACACTGGTTGAGGCATATCCCACTGATTGACAATGCTGGCCCCTGTCCTCAGGGTCTCTATGGCAATACCGGTTACTAGCTAATGACAAAATATCTTAATTATGAAAGAATTTGTCAACAAAGTAAATGGACAGGGCTTGAAGATATTTTTTGGCAATGATCACACAAAAAAGCATCAAGAAGTTACATTTTTATTGGCTTGAATGGCCCGTTAAATCAATGCATGTAGGAAGCGTTTCTGGCAGGCTCCATTACATGAAGTAAACAATACAGACTTCTCAAACTTTATATGTTGCAGTGCAAGATTATAGGTGATAAAGTAAAACAATCTTTATAGTAATTATTTTTGACATAGGAAAATGCTGTTTTACAAGAATGAGGCAAATTTAACACTGGTATGTAAAAGAAGGCTTCAGTATACTCCGCTTTGTGCCAAAAGTTCCTTCAACCTGCAGGCTTCTTGTTTTTTCACGTGCTAAAGTACACGTTATTTCCAATTTACAGTTTAGCATTGACTCTGAGTAATAGTGGTTTTGTTTTTCCACTGCATCGGTCAAAGGTTGTTTTCTTTCATTCTCAAACAGCAGAGCTAAGCTGTAGCTTCATTGTCCTTAAAAATAGGCAGTGTTTCTAATTGCATCCATTTACCTGATACTTGATTTAAAAATTTGAAAAGTAGAATGACAACGAGAAAAATGCAAGTGTAGAAAATCTAATAAAACACAGGGTCCACGGCATGGCGAGTGTTGTTGAGTTACCCTTGGTCAGCTTGCGTCTCCTCGAAGCAGGATTTGCTTCATTTTCTGAGTAAAAGCAAAACAGGGTGTTTGGAAACAAGGGTTATTATAACTTATCTAATAGAATAGTCATAAACACTTTCTAGAACTTAATGTAACATCTCTGTGAGATCACATGTTTCCTTGCATTTTAGAGATGACAAAATTTAGCTATGAGGCTGTAAGGCAAGTTATTTGTTGTGGGCAGAGCTAAAAATAAAATTTTTCCATACTCACTATTCAAACTTAATTTACTCTTAGCGTTAAAAAATGCACTTTTATTCTCCACTCAGTTTTTTTAAACCAAATTTATATCGTAACAGGAATGCAGATGATGGTTAGCCGAAATGTGAGAAGTCCTGATCCCCACATATCATAGATGCCACTCCTCTCAATACTCAATACAGACGCTCCCGAGGTATTTTTTGTCCATAAGCTTGTTTTCTGCCCCAAATTGAGTCACTTTAAAAATATTAAATTTTGTTTTAGCATGTGATAGAACACAGTGGCACATCTTTAAATATGACAAAAATATTTGAGTACTGGGAAGAAAAACCTTACGTGACAGGCTTTCGAGTGTCTCCACAATCAGTTCCAGGTTTGAATTTGCACGTCCTGGCCTCGCAGCAAGCATTGGTACAAGCCTGCGAAGCACACAGTGCAATGAAAGTGGGTTCAGCAGTATCTCCCTGTAGAGTGAATCGAATTCTGGCACAAGTTGGCAATGAATTTTTTCTTTTTGAACAAAATTACTCTTTTGTGCACATTTGCATGAAAATGATGCAGATAACTTAAGGAGAAGAAATGTTCTGGGAAATAAAATCTACTTAAAGGCCCCAAATAGAATTTCCCCAAAATTGCCCTAAGTAAATTTAGCATTGAAAATATTATGTACAGACTACTTTATGACTTCAGAAATGTTTCTGTGCTACTGAAATGATTTGGAAATACAGAAAAAAATCTTAAAATATCTAATTTGCTTTACTAAGATTTCATGTCCAGTACAATGACTGATAAAGCACCCATAGTTCTTTATGACTAGAAATGCAAGAGCTTAAATAAATACTAGAAAGATCTATTAGTCAAACAGCTGTGTAACATTTAAGTGAAATTTTCTTCAAAACAAACATTATGGAATAAATATAAAGCCATTATATTAAGAGACCTAGGGGGAAGATACAACAAATGCTTGAATGACAAAAATTAGTTGTTTAAAAATTCAACAGCCATTATGAAATTGTTGAAGCATATAGCAAATAAACTGAACAGGATAATGAGATTTTCATATGCATCATGGCATTCATGTAGCCAATAATACAAAGTATAAGATAAGCATGATTTTTTTATATTTTTACAGAAATTCCAACAAATATCATGCATGAAAAAATACAAAAGTCTAATAATTGAGAAGAAAAAAAATCGCTTTCACTTAAAATGTGATATTTTGCTACTCAAAAATATAAGAATCAATTATTTAATTTTTAAAGATATCAAAAGTAGTAGTGATTCAGTCTAAACTATAGTAAAATAATGCACAGCATGAAGAAAAACAAGAAAATACTTTCGAGTTCAAATTCAAAATGTGGGAAAACATTAATTTTACTTATGACTTTCCATAGAAATGTGAAGGGAATCTCATGTTTTAGGATAACATTTTATGTTCTGAAGATGTCACAGGCCTTTAGAAAAAAAATATTGATATTGGGTATTTCAATGGAATCTTAGTTGTATTTGTGGCAAACATATTTTATAAAACACCAGTTATATTATGGAAAAACTGCTATACAAATTCTGAAAAATAATTCCAAGGCACCAAAACTATGAAAAGATTTACCATAAAAATGCTTTGTAAACTTATAATCAATAACATAGCGTGGTGTGTTTCAGAAATATGTGGACAAGTGAATATGATTACTGTAAAAGAATCTCTTACCCTAGGAGAGCCACAATCACAGTCTTCTCCCACTTCCAGTAGTTGGTTCCCACACACTGAGATTGTCCCATTTCTAGGAGCTGATAGTTGCAACAGGCACTTCGGTTTTTGAGATAAAAGGTAACTTTCAAAATGTGTGCGGCAGATTGTACTGAAATCCTTTGGGAATTTTGAACTGTAAGCAGAAGAAAAGTTTGGTCTATGATACTGCTAGTTGTGTATGATTTATAAGAATCTGACTTACATAACTGGTTCAAAAGAAATTTCAAGTTCAGTAATTACAGGCATATTCAGAGAGTGATCAAGCATGCATATTCCGTGACTAAGAATGTTTCCCATAGATCTAGCTGTTGCTCTAGAATAATTTAAATCACTGTGTGCATTTAGTACCATCTTAAATGATAACAGTGATGAATATGTGGTTTGTTATCATCCACTTACCTTTCCTAGAAGTAGAGGTAAGTGACTTCAGAATGAAGGAGTGAAGGGAAATGATCAGGGTTCTAGGCTCTAAGGACATCTTCTCCTCCTTAATTTATGAACACCTCAGAATGTTTAGCTCTATCCTCTGTTCCAAGCCATTGCAAAGTGGCTAACAATAATATAAATAATCGTGTAAAGTAGGGTGATTGATCCATAGAAATATGAAGAAAATTTTGGTGCCTTTATTAGGCTAATCGATGGTGATATTAATCAATAAATTCTTTTAAAACATAGTTCACATACTTATAAATATTTGGGAATATTTGGAAATCTTGTAGGAGCTCTATAATTTATGGAACACCTATGTATAAAGAGGCTAGTGTTTGAGCAACATACAGGCTTGGGTCTGAAATTCATGCAAAACATGAATACATAGACAAACATCTGAAGAATTGGTAATATTTCTTCTCTAGCATGACATAGTCTCACCTCAGATACTGATTCATTACACAGCTGCCAGAGGGACACTTGGTGTCATATGGGATATCAGGCATGCCAAGTACATGGCCCAACTCATGTGACATCACTCCCACAAGAGCTACGTTATTCTTTCTTTCAGCCTGGAAAAAAGCAATATTTATTTCATTTCTCATTTTTTTTTGCCAGTGTACAGTGTTTAAACACATAGTGTGAGAGATGACAAACACAAGCCCTAAGGCTCTTTCCCTGTTTTCCCCACCTCTACTTATTACAATGAAACTGTTAATGTGTTTTGACAATATGCGGATGAACTTTGTATCATTGTCTAGACTTACAATGTCATGATTCACTTAAATAGCAAAAGGGGAGTCCTTTTATTTTGGAGTAGAGATGCATTCCACAACACATCTTTACATCCAGTTTACTGGTTTTCATTGCACAGTTTATCTATGAAAATATATGTATATAATGTTTACCCATATAGCTATTTCATTTATATTTTGTATTAATGTTGTCTTGTGTCACAGAACATATTTGTTCTTTTTGAATTGGCTTATTTCACTGAGCATAGTGAATTGGGACCATTTTATTGCAAGCAATAGGATTTGATTGTTTTTGGCGGCTGAGTAGTGTTCCATAGAAGGATGTAACAGTTTCTTTGACCATGTCTCAATGTCAGGATGCACCTAAATAGCAAAATGATGCACTTGTGACTGAAGAACTCTCCTGTTGCTATTGAGGAAAACAGTGATGGGAGGAGGATGGGACTTTGAAAAAGGAAATCCCTGAGCCTAAGGAACCATACCATGAAAAATAAAAATTAAAAAAAAAAAAAGAATGAAAAAAACCTAAGTTGTTGAATGATGATTTGAAGTGATTGAGTCCTGTAAACACAATCACAGAATCCATGATTAATTGTTTGTATAGCCAGTTACCATACGTTTCCAGTGAACCATGCAGTAAAGGGTGAAGTCTTCTAGCAGAGCTGTTGTGAGGGGGATATTCTGTTCAATAAGCCAAGAAATCTTTTTAGAATATATTGATTGCTCTGGCACATCCTCACTGTGCCAACTCTGCATTTGGCATTATTCATTGAAGATACAGAACCACAGGGAGACATATTACAAGCTTACAAACCTCAATAACAGCAACCGAAGATGAAGAACACAAGGAGTTTGAGGCTGCCATTCCAACACGCCGGTTGTTGAAGGCGACTCCACTGTGTGAAAGTCAGACACACGCTCAGTCTCAGGCTTTAGAACCATTAGCCTTTGTTAGGCTGTACGTTTCCCTTGTTGACCCATGCTTTTCCTTTGCCCCAAGCCTCAGGAAAGCTTCTATCATCCCAGAGCATTATAGGGATCAGAGCTGGCTATCTTACATTAAAGAGCCCATTTTATTGATTTGATAGGGGCCGCTGGAGGGAATTGTTAAAGGCAGAATGTCAGGCAGTTGATACATAAATGAGGAGAAAGAATTGAGTGGAAATCCCTGCGGAGGAATCTGGAGGATGACCGTTCCCTCAGCCTACTTAGGACCCCACCAGGGCCGTGCAGATGCTCACCTGAGAAGTTGAGCATGGTCATGTACCATCTTTTTCCCCAGGTTAGATTTATGCCATTCCAGGAAGTTGTTAAACGTGGTGCCTATTTTGGACTCCACCTTGATCTTATCACTGTCAGACCAGATTTCCATACCCACCAAGGTCACTTCAACATCTATGGTATTGTAAATCTGTGGAAAGAGCAGTTTTCTTCATGAAAATCTTGCCTGTTTCCTAGTTGTTTGAGTTGGGATTGATCAGTGATGGGGTGGCTAAGTGATGAGAACTACAAATGATAAACTTCCATTTTGAACATGGAAACCGAGAACTTGCTTTTGCTGCTCATTTGTGTGATTTTAACTTGACGTTGAGACTTCTCATGCTAAAATTTACCAGAACTGTTGGCCATAAGGCGCTGTGATCCTTACTGATGAGAGCAAGTGGAACCCACAGGCCCAAGTAAAAACACAAGTTTACATTAACAATGTCTTACCACATTGAGTAGGTTCAGCACATCGAACACAAAGCTTCTCATGCGAGTTATATTTCCCTCATGTATCTTGTACTGTAAAATACAAAGCAAGAAGTAAAAATACAAAATTAAAGTGAGAAAGCTAATGGGATACAGTTTCACGTTTGAATAAAAAATGTTACATGTTAATATACTTCATTATATATTGTTAAGGGCTATAATTAAGGGCTCTGTTTCCATTAATTCTCTTTTAAGCGAATCTTGGTAAGAGAAATTGAGACATTAATATAAAATTGTTTTTAACTTTTCAGTTGAATGTTATTTGTGTAATATTTATATTAATATATTCATACTTAATGCTAAAATATTCTACCATTCTTAATGTCTATTTTTAGATAATTCCTTATAGCTATATATTAACTTTTTGTAGGCCCCTTATGCCTGTTTATGGAACCTGAAATTAAGATATTTTATTTGTTGCAAGAACATTTTGAAATCCATGTCTACAAGGGGTCTTCAAAAATTCATGGAGAATGTATACTATTAAAAACCTATACATACATGTAAAATTTGTTTTCTCACAAAGCAAACATCTTTTAATTATATTTTGCATTAGGTTTTTAAGGTCCGTTGGTATATTACTGGTTCTCAATATTTGATAGATAGCTATTTCATGGAACAAGAGTACAAATATTGCTGAAAAGGCAGAATTTCCAGTATGTTCAAGTTTGCCTTATTAGCAAAAATCACTCATTGTTTGCTTCAGCTTAAGTTACTTCAGCGTGGACTAAACTGGCCCAAGTTTAACATCTCATACTTACAAAGGTATTATCGAGCACCAAAAACAGGTCAAGGTATTTTTGTGCCTGAAGAAAGTCTTCTTGCTTTATGGAGGATAAAAGAACATTATAAAGTTACTTTGATTCTGAAAGACCCAAAAGCTTACAAAGAGATCTAGTCTCATATATATAGCCTTTACTCAAAAACCTTTCATTGAAATAAGACCTCTTATTGAAATTAAAGTTTGTCAGTATTAAAGCCTATATTATTTACTCAAAATCTCAACAAGGATTATAAAGACAAATTCGAGATTTGCATTATGAACCATGTGAATATTTTCCATTAATTTCTCCAGAGCAAAATTAATCTACAGATAATTTACAGCATGTACACCTGTTATGTGTTGCTAAGCACATCAATAGATCTATGTGATGATGAACCCCTTGGAATACAAGATGATACAGGAAAACCCTGCTTACCTTTGCACTTGTGGGTGACCTAGACTTTCGAATAGGACCACGTTTCCTGCCAACATGTCTCACCCCACACGTGTAGTTGGCTGTGTGCAGTTCCTCATTATTGTATGTAAAGATAGCATGTTCTGCCTGATCCGTGCCTTTCAGAGGCTGTATCAGATAGCTTTGATGGTGGTGTGTGAAGTATCCTCTGAAATACACAGACCCGTATCTCAGGATTCCCTGGCACACAGTGTTGCAATGCTCAGCAGTGGTTGACAACGCTGCCAATCCATCCCAGTCTCACAGTACAGCCTTCACTCGTAGGCATCTCAACTACCTCTTAGTAAATTATAATTGGTATTTGTCACTGTTGGAGCCTATCTTATTTACTCAGAGAAATCTGGAACAGGATTACCAGGGGAAATTTGAGATTTACACCATAAGCTTGGTAAATAGGTTTTCATTATCCATGTAACAAACACTTATTGGTATATCTAAGAATATGATGAGAAACACAGTATGGGCATATCTAGATAATAAGTTCAGAAAAGAAAAAAATCTTAGTGGTTAACCCTGAGGGCTACAGTTAGTGTTAGTAGTAGTTTAAACAATCTGTTTTGCTTGGCAGTTAGAATGCCCATGTCTTATACTAAAGCACTTGAATTTTGAGACCAGGCTGTGGTCCTAACTTCACCCTTCTCCTCTTGCAGACCCCAGGTGCAGTTATGATATGTGGATTTTTTTGCAAAGTACATGGAGACCTGGATTTGAGTTCCCAGCCCTCGGCTTTGTCCTGATCCATTATGGATATTTAGGGAGAGAAACAGTGTTTAAGTGATTGTTTTAATAAAAAGTACCATAATATTAAGCAATATAAGTAATACTCAGACTGATCCCTGTGTAGCAAAATGATGCTTGCTCTGTACTTGTTTTATTGTGGTTCTCACCTCAGCCCATCACAGGTGCTGATGCTTGCCACAGAATCCTTCTCATTTAGGATGCGTCCTTCATAGTAACAATACTCCTGGAGTTGGAAAAAGACTGAATTCAATCTCTCTGTGTACACACATGTATAGTATGTATATACACACACACACTTCAAGGATGAGAATACACCAGAGTTATGCAGAAAAATGCTATCACGACTATACAGGACAGTTCAAGTAATAGTTATGGCCAAGCCAGTTTCCAGAAACAAAGAGCATGAGAACCTCAGGATTTTCTGAATCGCTCCGTAGCTGAGCTGGAAAACTACATGTTTAGAGGCCAAGATGCTTTTCTGGCACTACTTTGTCCCTCAGGAAAGTCCAGAGCTATTGAACCCGAGTGGGTCCATGATGAAGGAAGATGTTACCTCTGACAAGTACCCAATTCCCCTGGGATTTACAGTACTACTATGGGAATCTTGGAATTATTTTTCTGTTCAAGAGCCCAAGGGCTCTGTGCATCACCCAGGAGTAGAAAGAGGAATTCATATTCCAAGACTTTGTAGATCATCAGAGGCAATACTGCCACTGCTGAGCATACCGAACTAACCAATTTGGTCCTCCAGTTTAATTGGTCTTTTAAGGGAATTTCTTTGGCAGTCTCAAAAATCCACACATGCTTTGAGTCTATCAGCAAAGTAGGGGCCACAAAGTTAATCAACAACCACTCATTCAAAAAGAGTAGGCTTGTCTCGATGCCTGAGATTTTGTCTGTGCATCTGACTGTTTTATACCTTGGAAGAAAACATGTCATCAGAAACGTTTTCTGTGGAAGACTTGGGAAAGAGTATTATGTTCATGTGTTCTTAGCTGTTTACCCTTGAGTATAAATTTATTAGGCATTTTCCTCTGAAGACAATATGGGAAAACCCTACCTATCTACAAAACCAAAATTTTGAAAAATTTTTACAAGGGAGACATGATTAACAGCATAGATTAAATTATTTTGTGCTTGCTTCTTGTTCTCTGATGTTTGTCATGTTTCTCTATGGTTTATATCTACCATGGCCTTGGAACCTGATGATGGTGAAAAGAATAACAATCTGAGCAAACAAAATTTTAATATCTTGTTGTTAATGCCATGAAAAAATGCTGTTTATCTTCAGAAAATAAAACATGAAGTCTCAGATTCCTAATATTGTTTCTGATCTATGGATAAAGTTGTTTAGGGGCCAGTAGATGTCTATATTATTCTAGAACTATGAACCTTGAAAGATTCTGAAAACAAGCTTGTAAATGCTGAGTGCAACTTTCTATCTGCTATTTCATTAGTCACACAGGAGCATCTTGTTTTCAAATACTGATTTTTAAATGATTATTTGATGAGATTAAACAGTTAGCAGAGCCCATAAAATGTTCCAGAAAGCATGGATACCGTACCAGGTCAGGAGGGCTGGTGATGATTTCCTCCCCTCTCGGTGAATAGAAAGTTTCAGTGTAGTTTGGTCCCAGGAGATGCCTGTAGGAAGTGGAAAGGCGCAAGGTACAAATAAAGGCTTATGTTTCTGCCATGCCCTTCAGTACTGAAGGAATAATAATGTCTAATGACATGGTTGACATTCTGACCCATGACCCTGTCCCAAAATTGGAACAATGCTGCTGAAATATAAAGTATACCTCTCAGATCTGATGGGAGAAATCTTCTGTTTCAAACAAGTGACTTTGCGATGCTTCACACCATGACTACAACCTTTTTGGTTATGGTCATGTCATCATGGACTATTACCTACAGGGTAGGATTTGCTAAATGCTTAGATCTGCACAGAACTTCATTTCCTGACACACCGCTTAAGGCTGTGAATACTGAATCAGCCTTGGACATAAGTCCTTCTAAAAGTAATGTGAACTGCTCCAAAGTTTCAGGTGTATATGAGCATAAAGGATGATCAGCACGTTCTCAGGTTGAGGGAAAATGTCACTTATATTTGGAATTCTCTGTTTATACTTTGTATATGATTTGTTGAGAGTGTAAACATCTTAGATTATTTCAGACAAAGCAAAATCAATTAAGACTCAAATGCTTCAGGTCTTCTGTCTAAAACTACACCAACTGGGGTCAAGATTTTTTTTCCCCACATTTTAATGCAAGGAAGTGATGACCCTTCTAGAAAACACAACTTACTTGGTTTTCTGTAGCTGAAGAATGATTTCTTCTCCTTTTAAGCTAATCTGATATTTAATTTCAGATTCATACTTTTCCTGGAAATATTTAATGAAATCATTAAGTCAAACAATTTATATTCTGAGCCTGTCAAAAATAACCATGACATATTTAACATATTTCAGGATAATAATTGCAAAAGCATAGGTTGTAAAAGAAGCTGTTTTATGCCTTTACAGTAGTATAAGATACAACTTAAATTTTATTGAGATGAACTTTGAAAGAAACTAGTTTCATTGTAATAACCCATATTGATTAAATTGTGGTATGAATTGTAGGAATTTATAATTTGATTTAGTGAAGGATATACTGTCTTGTGAACCCAACTAAATCACCAGTAGTTCTGTGGTATAATAAAAAGACATACATTTTTCTCATTTTAAAAGAAAACCAAACACATTGAAGGAAAGCAACCAAAATGCTATTAAGAATCAAATGTCATAGTCAAAATGTTAAATATACTTTACTTCATAAATTAAAAAACCTTGATTATTAAGTGTTAGTTCGTCATAAATGATAAAATGGTTGAGAAAAAGCATTTCTGCAGGGGGAGAAGGGTTGGAGCAAAAGGGAAAATGTGGGTTTGGCGAGCTGGAAGGGAACACGTGCTGATAGAAATGGCTCTGTTTCCTGGACACTTTTTTTTCCCATTCTCTCCTTCAGAAATGTCGAAGCAGCTTTAGCCTTTCTTAATTTGCTTGCCTGTAAAAGCTTTGGAAGAAATTGTGTGTTCTCTCCTGACGGAAGGGAGCTACATAAATGGGCTTGCAGATGAAGCTGGCAGATTCCACGTTGACAGTGACGCCGCTTCTACAAGTGGAAGCCTCCTTTACTGTTTCTTCTGAAATGACAAGGTTTCCCACAGGGCGTGCTCTGTGCTTACCTCATCCCCGTGCCTTTGTGTCCCGTTGCTCTCAATCTCTCTTTTGTGTAAACTGTGTAGTTTTCTGGGATGGACTACTTCATAGAGCGTTAATTCAGATGTTTGTTTTGAGCCTAATGCTAGAGGAAGAGAGAGCATTGATGTAAAGGATTTTAAGATTATAGTTTTTGAACTTTTGTGTTTTCTTTCTTTTTTTGGAAAAAAGCAGTGAAGACTGAATTGCCAGTCAGATAACACGCATTTAGAAGGCAGTTCCCCGCGTTGGTTTTTTGTTTTGTTTTTTACATTTGCTTATTTTTAATGGAAAGTCAGATTTACAGAGAAAAGGAGATTCAGAGAAAGATCTTCAGTCTGCTGGTTCATTCTCCAAGTGGCTGTAACAGCCAGAGCTGAGCTAATCTGAAGCAAGTAGCTTCTTCCAGGTGTCTCACGTAGCTGCCCAAGGCCTTGGGCTATCCTCTTCTGCTTTGCCAGGCAACAAGCAGGGAGCTGAAAGCAAGGTGGAGCAGCCAGGATATGAACTGGTGCCCATGTGGGATCCCGGCACATGCAAGGCAAGGACTTCAGCCACGAGGCTACTTGCTCCCCCTAATCCTCCATATTAGTTTTTTGACAATTTTTTTTTAATCTCTCCTCCCACAGTGGAAAAGCATGATGAAACAATTCTTTGGGCGTTCTTTCATCATGTGCAAACTCTGGACTTGGAAAGGTAAGTCTCAGATTAAGAACAGGGGTCGTGGGAGCCTGGACCTGCCTTCCTTATTACATTATCTCTACATTTATCGTGCTTTTCGAACTTGTGGATTTTATCTCAATGTCCTCAGATTTCTGCTTTACTTCGAAATGTCTTTGCGTTTCACCTGTGTGGTAAAACCCCTTGAGTACTCAGCTCACTCTAGGCAAGCTTCTTGTTAATTCCCCAGTACAATAATGATTCGTGATGCTGTTTTTCGCATTTTCATTTTTCTCTGAAGACTTAAATTTCACAATAAGATTGTAGTATATTCTCCTAGAGACTTTTTAAAGTATAAAAGTAATAAAAGTATAAAGTATAAATGTGTCAAAGTATGGAAGTATAAAAATGTTTATAGACAGTATTAACATACTAAAAATTAGCGTTTGTTAGACAACTTCTCGTTAACAGTAGAGAAAGAATGGTTCATGAAGCCAACATTGTCTTATATCCTCACTAAATGATCCTGTAGAAGGCACTTTACCTTTGAGTTACTTGTTACTAAGATAATTTTGGTGAAAAACTTGTATAAGAAAACATAAAAATATTTAGTGCCATTCTAGGAAGATGAAAGCATATCTTTATTTTTCTTTTAATTGCTCAATCACCTACTTAAGATCTGTCATATTTTTAAACACATTTCATACCGCAGTGTGCTTGAGGCAGTTTCATTGTAACAGAGTGAACTTAGGGACACAGTGATTATACCCTTGTTTGATACAGGGAGACTCTGAAGGACAATCATAAAGCTATGATTCTTTCTTCATTAGTTCTCTAGATTTGCTGCCCTGAGAGCAGCTGCCCTGAGAAAGGTTCATTACATATTAAGGCAGAAAATATAGACAAGTATTAGTAACTGCTCTTTTATCAAAAGGTATTCTGAATCCAGCAATGGAGTGGTAATGGACTTGAAATTAGAGTGAATTTTCATAATACCTCATGATCACTCTAGCAATGACTTGTAATTTTGGAAAAGCCCCAGAATGTTTTCCAACCTCTCTACAAACGCTGACTTTAGGGGCACCTTGTAAGAACAGACTACAGTGTTGTTTACCAAAGGCCTCTTAAGGTTTCATAAAGCAAAACATAAATCCAATAGTATCTTTTAATGAATAAAAGATGAAAGTCAAGACCAGTCTAGTGAAAGTTAACTTTTTAATACTCAAAAACTTTTAGAGATAATGGATCAGCACTATACTTTTACTTAACTATATTGTCTCAAATCACTGCCTGATTTTTTAACATACGGCAAAAATAATGTAGCATTATATTTTTAGGCAGCGAGCAAATTACAGTTAATCTTAGGTTCTTTTTCTGAATATAAAACTGAAATATTCTTCAACACACACTTATTGAAGTGTAACTTAGCTTGAAGTTGTCAAATAAAATCAATAGAGTACATTGTGTTACCTACCCCTTTGGAATTTAACTCAATTGGGAAAATACCTATTGAATATAAAATATCCATTACATGTGTTGCCATAATCAAATCAGCAAGTTAGATGGTTGCAAATGCCAGGATGATTAAATATACTAGAGCTAAGGGATTCTGGATCTTTGGGCACAGGTGAGAGGTATAGTTCTAAAATGGGCAGGCATTTGTCTTTTCTCCTGAGGAGTTGCAGGTTGAAGTTTTGGTGGTGGTGGCCCTTTCTGCTTGCTCTGTGTTGATCCCTTTACCTAACAGAGTGCTGAGCCTAAAATGGAATGAAAATATGCTGTTTGAATATTAGGAAAAAAGAAATCGGCATTTGATGTTTTACGTGTTTTTAACTAGTGATAATCTATCCAGTAGTAAGGTGATAAAATCAGTATGCCTCGTTTGCAAGTAAAATAAGTGTGTGTATGGGGTTATCAGATGAATAATCCCCAGAAACTGTTATTTTCCAGGACTGCTCATTTTGACCCTGTCATTTGTGAAAAACGTTTCTCAAGGAAATTCTTATAGTAGATTTTTAAAACCTTAAAAAGATGCAGTGATTGGAATAATATTTTGTGTTGATTTATTTTGGAAAATATTCCAACTTATTTTGAAACATACTAATTTGAAAATTATGCCAAGTTTTAGAATATTTTATATAATTAGAATTTTCATCAAAGATATTGGCAGATATACAGAATGGAGATAGGGAGGCCAGTATATAACAGATTGACAGATAAATTCTCAATACTCAACATCATGGAAGATTGATTTCAGGATACTCGTCAAATACCAAAATTTATGCTTGGTCAAGTTTCTTAGGTAAAACGTCATTTAAACTATGCTCACCTTCCCCTACATCTTAAATAACTTCTAGAAAATTTCTGATATCTAATACTATGCAAACAGCTTCACATTGTACCATTTGGGGAACCAGGACAAGAAGTATTTGTTCAGTAGAGATATAATTAGTTTTTTGAATATTTTTGATCTAAGGTTGGTTGAATAAGCAGATACAGAGCACATGGCTGCAGGGAACCGACTGGACGTAACTTGCTTGAACAGAGAATAGACCAAAGCACGAGCAGCATGTGTCCTCAGACAAGGCTGCTTCAAGCACTGATGCGGTCATTGACTTTTGCATTAAAATGCCAGTAGAGCTGTACTTACCTTGAGTTTGGAAGATGAGCCAGAGCACAGAGAGCAGGACCCAAGTCATGCTGGCAACTGCAGGTAGCTGAGACATCGCACAGAGCATGAAAACGAGGTTGTCCAAGCTGTTTTTATCTGCCTCCACTGCCCTTTGGATGTTCAAAAACAAAAAAAAAACTTCAATCTTAATGAGATTCGGGAATTTTTTTAATGGTATTCGGAAATGAACAAGAAATTGCAATGTCAAGACCTGAGGATGTTTTTCGTTTATGAGACGTATTTATATCTGGTTATAGCTCACTAAGGACTTGCATCTGGACAACTGCTTATCCTGGATGTGGTTGCAAGTACTAGGAATTTATGAGCTGAGGTTGAATATTTATATCCTAACCCAAACTGAACCGTCTCTACTCTTGTATCCTTATATTGATACTAGTATGTGCATTTAAAAAATACCTGGATGTGTTGTACACATTTTGTGAAGCTAGCACAGAGAGCACCAACTCGAAAAGACCTTAGCCAAGTCTTACAATCCATAATGTGTGACTGTCTCTGAATCTCAGTGTCTTTATGTGTAAGAAGGGATTAAACTCCTTAGGTTTTATCTAAAATCATATACACTTTCACATACAGACATTTCTAAACAAAATTGTAAAGAAATGTTCAAATTATCTTTGACAGTGTTAACATTAAGTTACACAGCAAAGAAAGGATGTTTGAAGTGTGCTATGAGTTCTGCTTCAGAAAGACAGCAATACTTTTCTACTTCCAGAAAAATGATATTTGGGTATTAGAAAAATTATACATTTTCATGATCATAATTGTCAAAAGAATACAGAAAGGAGTCACCAAATGACTCCACATTAAAAAAATGACTTCAGTGCACCAGTCTTTGGCCTACCAGTTAACAGTCTGGTTTAAGGTCTCCACATCTTTCTTTAGAATATGATGGTTCAGTTCCCAGCTCCAGTGCCTACTGCAATATCTTGCCAATGTGAACCCCAGAGATATTAATATGGCTCAAATAATTGGCTCTGTGCACGCATATGAGAGACTGAATTCCTGGTCCTTGCCTTCTGTTGCAGCCCAGTATTGGATGCTGTGGAATTTGGAAAATGATTAGTTAGATAGGAACTCTGTTTATCTGTTTTTTCCTCTTTACTACCACTCTGCATCCAAAATACAAACACAGTAAAATTTAACCTTTGGACAATGTTTTCACATTTTATGCACTAATAAAAAGTGAGTTGATACAGGGTTCAAATAATAATCTTTAGCACAGCAGAACAAACATTTCCAAAATGTTGAAACCCACTAAGGCATCATTTCTTTAGCATATGGATTTGTGTGTGTGTTATATATGATTACATGTAGTAATTTGGATTTGCAGAACGTCAGTGACAATGTAGATGTCTGTGATGGGACTTTCTTGGTGTAAGAATCAGCCTTCCAACTGGCCATCATGATGTCTTGCTAAGGCACATGGGAATCTTCTAGCATCTGATTCCAAATTTTAAAATCCTCTTTCTAGGGCTGTTCATCCTTTTCTCCTCCCATGCTTTGGATTAACAGGGATTTTTTCTCCCCTGTATTTTGTATGTATTTTAGGGGTTCAAAAATAGCTTACTTACGTCCTTTACAAGTTGCTGTTAAAATTTAATGAGCCTAACTTGTATCTCTATTATCAAATAATACAGTGCTGCAGGTAGCTTAATTTGTACCTGTGTTTTTACCCTTTGCCACCTCCACCTTACATTGTTGTAATGACATATATTAATTTTACCCATGTTTTCATTCTCAGTGTTTACTCTTTTAGTATTTTATACTCACTATTTATTCAGTAGCATTAAATCTCCATGTGTTTATATATTTTCTAGAATTTTTTGAATTGTGGACTGCAGGCTTCATTCCCTGGTGGTCAGTTATGTAGCATTGCTTCAGGATCTTTACATTTTCTGAGGCTTGATGTATGGCCCGGTGTGTGGTCTATCCTAGAGTAGGTTCCGTGAGCTGATCCAAAAAAATGTGTATTCTGCATTTGTGGAAGGAAGTGCTGTGTAGATGTGAATAGGTCCTTTCGGCCCTCGGTATAGATTAACCCTGTTGACTTCTTTGTTAATTTTCTGTCTAGTAAATCTGAGTATTAATGAAATTAGGGTGTTGACGTCTCCAATATTATTGTATTGCAGACAGTGTATGTCTTAGCTCCATCCACGATTGGTTTAAATAGCAGATTCCCTGGCATTGGTGCACATACATTTACTATTGCCACTTCTTGTGGAATTGGTCCAGTAACCATCATGGACTGCCCTTCTTAGTCGCTTGTGTGAGCTTTTGTGTTAATGTCTCTTTGCTATCATTTCATTCTTTCACTGCCGTGATTATCATTCGCCATTTCTGTGTGTAGCAAATCCTTAAAACATCATTTTTTAGGTTTGTATGGATGGTGGCAAATACTTCCGATTTCTGTTTGTTTTGGTAAAGTTACTTATTTCACCTTTGTGAATAAGAGTTGTGTAGGTTACAGTATTCTGGGTGTGCAGTTTCTTTTAGGTCATGGACTGTGGCATTCCATTCTTGTGTAACCTGTAGGGTTTCGGAGGAGCAGTCACCTGTAAGTCTGATTGAAGATCTTCTGATAATCACCTGGGTCTTTCCCATATGCATTTGAAAATCTTTGCTTTGCCAAGAAAAATGACTATAGTGTGTGCCATGGTAAAGATGTTTTCTGGCCATGCCTGTAGGGAGTTCTTCTGCTTCCTCCTCTTGGATACTCCTTTCTTGCACCATGTTGGGGAAGTCCTCGCTTACTATTTCATTGAATAGGTCCTCTTTCAGCAGCAGATTCCTTAGTAAGTCCTTCATTAGAGTTTTTTTGCATATCCTTTATATTTCATGTTTTTCCTTTTTTTTTTGAAATTTCTTTCATCCTTACTGTTAGTGACAAAGAGCAGGTTTCGGATTAGAATCTAATTTTTAAGTGTTTTGAATGAATTTCATGTATTTCACAACACAGATTGAACAGCATACCAGTATTTTTCCTTCTTCCTCATTTATTTTGTCCTTACATTTTGTAAATGTCACTTTTTTCTTTTCAAAAATCACCAACTTAACACTCCAATAGGTACGATTGAGTCCCATATGAGGTAGAAAAGAATCTATTTCTCAGGAATTTTTACTAAGGCTACAGCAACAACAATTCCAAGAATTTCTACCTCACTAATATAAATTGAATTTTTGGTACCCTTTGTTTTTATCACAGATCAGGGAATATATATGATATTTGTCTTTCGGGGACTGGCTTATTTGAGCATAATGATTTCCAGTTGTCTACATTTAGTTACAAAGACCAGATTTCATGCCTTTTTATGGTGTTTTATGGCTAAGTATTATTCCATATTGCTCACGTGCACACACACACAAACACACAAACACACACACACACACACACACACACATCACATTTCCATTATCCAGTCGTAAGTTGATGGGCATCTGGCTTAATACCATATCTTAGCTATCATGAAATGAGCTGCTATAAGCATAGGGGTACAGATAGCTCTCTTATATGCTTACTTCATTTCGTTTAGAGAAATTTCAGGAGTAAGATGGCTGGGTCAATGGCAGATCTATTTTCAGATGTCTAAGGAATACCTATATTGTGCTTCATGATGGTTGCACTAGCTTTCATTCCAAACAACTATGGAAAAGATGCCTCTTTCCCCACATTGTCTTCAGCATTTATTGTTTTCTGATTTCTGTATGATAGCCCTTCTAACAAGGGTGAGGTAAACCTCTCTAGGGATTTTATTTTCACTACTGGTTTATAAAGTTGAGAATTTTTTCATATGTATCCATTGCTCATTTGAATTCCACCCCTTGGAAAATGCCTGTGCATGTCATGCTTGTTTTGTTCTTGAATTTCTTGAATTCATGAAATATCCTGGAGCTTAATCTTCTATCAATTGCCTAATTTGCAAATATTTTCCCCTATTCTGATGGCTACCCTTCAGCTTGTTGATGGTTTCCTTTGCAGTGTACATGCATCTTAGCTCGATGTAATTCCCATTTCTTTATTTTTGCTTTTATTGCCTGTGCTTCTGTGGTTGTTTCAAAGAAATCTTTGCCTAGGACTATGTCTTTCAGAGTGCTCCCATTGTTTTCTTCTATTTCTTTGGCATCAGATCTTGGATTTAGATACTGAAATCCATTTAGAGTTGACGTTTGCGTAAAGTGTAAGGCAGGGATTTTATTTCACATTTCTGTATACCTATGGCAATTTCCCCAGCACCATTTGTTGAAGAAATTACCCTTTCCCTTGGGATTGGTTTAGATTTACTTGTCAAAAGTTTCTTGGCCGTAGATGTGTGGGTTCATGTTAGAGATGAACCAACAGAGAACATGAAAGGTCATGCAGAACTTTTATTATTATAGCAGGGTGGCCATCATCTCGCAGGATGACTCATTGAAACAAAGTGAGAGGTTTTTATACTTTTACAAAAACGTAGTGCAAGTGCTGGGAAAGCAGGTGTCCAGAGCACAAATTAGCACAAATTAGTTTCCACAAGGTTAGTGTAGCCCATAACAGGTCCAAGCAAAGGGCAAATCAATAGCTCTCCTGTGGGGAGAAAAGAATTAGGACACATTCCAAGAGACAACAAAACATGAGACTGAGTTCAGGTCTTCCATGACTCAGGCCTGTGTACAGCCCTGTGTGTGCCCAGGGCAGCCTCTGCTGCATGTCTCCTGGAATGCCTGCCAGGCATCTGCATCAGGTCATTTCTGTGACCTCTATGCTGTGTCATTGATGCTCTGGCCTGTTTTGTGCCAGTGTCAGGGAATTTTGATTACTGTCATCCAGAAGTAATCGAAATGCCTAAAGTCTGATCATAGTAATAGCTCTAGCTTTGTTTGTTCTTTCAGTTTGCTTTAGCCATCCTGGACCTTTTGTGTTTCCATGTAAATGTTAACATTGTTGTGTATCAGATCATACAGTATGTTTCTTAGCCATGTAATTGTATAAACAGGGCATTGATCTGTGTGTGTGGGAGTTCTGTATTTCCTTTACTCAAATTTCTGTTTCAAGTTTTCAGCTGCTATTCCACT